AAAAAACTGTACTTCCGTTTCATCAGACAGCAAAATATACGAAACGTATACAGCATATATAAACACAAAAAAAAAGCAGCATGTATTTTAATTACGCTTTTAAATTGAAAAACCATACCATAACAACACATACGCTTGGTTCACCTCGCTGAATACGATCAGAACGCTACAGAGCTCGTGAAGGTCCTGAACCTTTACCATAAACAGAAGATCCCTTAATCTAAGACGCGTTTGTACAGCTCGAGTATTTACAGAGAGTGCAGCTATGTCATCTTCGGAGCGCTCCTTCAAAAGCTCATTGTTCGCCCGAAACTAATGGGAAAAGTTTTAAGTAGAAAGCAAGTTTGCAAAAATAGGCATTTCAACAAGCCGTCAAATAAAGAATAAACAACAACTGTCGTGTAGGACCAAAACAGAACTTTTAAGCAGGCCTACATGTATATCTGTATTACACTTTAAAATACACTGGCCAACTAAGAAAACAAATCCTACAAAAAAAATCTTTTCACTTGAAAAAGATCAATTTCAGGCCTTGCAATTTCAGTGGAAAAACAGCGCTGGTTAAAATAAAACTGCTTCTTTTCCATGCGTCAATCCTCTTTTATAAAACACGATCAAAAAATTTTGAAAGCTAAACCGCATAATTTAAAAATACCTCGTCGTCTTTATCACTTCTTTTCTCTTCATTCGGGTTTTCATTTTCAGGTGAATTCCCTCGGAAGTGAGAGGGACTAGCCGCTGAAAGTAAAATGAAGTTTTTAAAAACAGCAATACAAGGCACATCACACACACTGCAAGTTTTCAACTTAATAATAAGCTTCCTTTCACGAAGAATAATAAAAAAGACAACTTACCGCATGCTCCAACTTCTAAGACACTGTCCCGCATAGATATCATACTTTCTGAAGCTAGCGCAGGAAGATGGCTGCAAAGTGAAGCGATTTATTTCTTACTCTGGTTAACCACATACCACGGCGATAAAAATGATCAGAAAAGAGCAACAAATGCAAGTTAAAAAAGAAAGAAATAGATTACAAAGTGAACATTGAATGAAAAATGAAGTACCTCTTTTGTAAAGAACTGACCATTTCTTCAAGCTCGTTTATACGTTTGTCCTACAAAAACACTGTCATGCTAGCTAATAATAATTAAAAATTAAATGTGTAAAAAAATAAAACAGTGCCTTGCGCTGCAACTCCAGTTCAGTCTCATTCCTTATTTGAGCAATTTCTTGGGCCTTTTTTTCTTCGAGCCCTTTCATTAAGCAATGCATCTTGTTCTAAAAAAGATGCACATTAACGGTGAAACTAAAAACACCATAATTAGATGACAAATACAGTTTCCAAAGATTTCATACTAACAGGGAATGGCACGTTACTGAATCAAACTTAACCAAAAAAAAACATTTCACACACTAATGACCACATTCAACCAACTAAAATTCTCAATTCCTGTAATCCTTTCTCAATCCCAGTTTTAAAGAAAAGACAAACGAAAAAATATACCGAAAACTCGTTTCCCACTATAACTCCCGTTCCTTCAATTCCTTTTTCTAACGAACTTTCAGACGCAGATTTTCTGTCTTCAGAAACACTTTCCAGTTGGACAGATGAACCAGCTTCCTGTAATGACAGTGTCATAAAAACAATAAGATTCGCATAAGAACAGATGCAGTCCACCACTAAAAATAACAAAAAAATTACGAACTGATACATTTCCTGCACTGCATTTCCGACTTTCAGAAACTCGTTTTGCAATTTCTGCACGTTCGAAGTACAGCCTTAAAAAACTTTCCTCACACAACGTTAAGACGAGTGTATCGCGTGATTAAAAATCTACACATACGTCATAATATATAACTTCAAAATCAAAGCAAAAACTTCAGATAAATCTGCTTAAAAAACTGAATTTCAGACTAAAATTAAAGTCTAGACCTTTCAATTATAGCCGAATCTCGTTCTTGAGCTAATCGGAGTTTCCCAATTTCCTGCCCTTGGTCCTAAACAACAGCAAACTAAGAAACACTGCACAACTTTGTCTTCCAGTTCTAAGAAACATAATAAAAAAAATGATCAAACGTCTAAGAAAATTACCCTTATCGCTTCTGCAAAATTATCCTGTAGCGCTGCAATTTCTGCTTTAGTCTCAAGCTGGATTTCTTTGATTTCTCGCTCAAACTCTTCTTTATACTGGGAAAGTTCCTCTTCATTTTTATTTCTGGCTGCCGCAGCTTTTTCGTCCATTTCCGCCTTTGCAGCCTCTGCCTCTAATTTCAGCTTTTCTTCATAATCAATTCTAAAATGTTCTTTGAGACGTCCACACTCTTTCTCAACCTCATCTTGAAACTTTTTTTTGTAGTGCGACAAGCACTCTTTTTCTGTCTCTTCTTTAACCTTCTGCAACCCTTCCTTCAACTTCAAAGCAAATTTAACAGAACAATCATTCCTCACAGAAGCCTTGGCACTCTCCAAATCTTGTAGCATCTTTTCTTCGTACTTCTTATTACACTTGTTTTCTATTTCACTCTTCATTTTGTCGACTTCAGCAGCCAACCTAATTTGATACGCATTTTCGATTTCTTGTTTCAAATCCTGAATTCTTTGCGTTAACTCCTTCTCAAGTCGTTCGGAATACTGCTTCTCAATTTCCTCTTTGGCCAGCCTTAATTCCTCCTCATATTTAGTAACATCAGTACCTTTCCTTTTCTCCAACTCTTCTTTGAACTTTAGCTCGTTTTTAGCAGTAACCTCTATTTCTGTTTCCAACCTCGTTTTTTCAACCATTTCAGCCAACACTTTTTCATGCCTTTCAGCACATTCCTTCTCAACATTTTCTTTTAACCTGTCAAGTTCTTTTTGCAAGTTCTCGGACGCCTCTTGCCTACACCTGTTTTCTGTCTCCTCTTTCGCCGCCTTCAATTCACATTCCAGTACAATTTCATATTGCACTTTACAGTTGTTTTCCGTCTCCTCTTTGACTTTTTTAATCTTATCTCTCACTTCTTCCTCAAACCTTGACAGCAGTTCCTTTTCTTTCACTTCACTTTCCCCATTTTGAGTGCCGCTAGAGTCTCCTTGGCCGAGTCCGGCTGAGGAGCCCTCAACAACAAGCGAAGAATTCGCAACTTTGTCTGTAATTCCCTTCGCTGCCTCACTTAGAAAAACTTCTTTCAAGTCCATATGGGATTTCCGCAGCAACTGGAGAGCCTGAAATATCTTGTTTCGACAAAGACTTAGTAAAGAAAATATCTTTAAACCAAAACTGATATAAGTGTAACACTATAAGACCCTAAAAATCAGTAACACACCTCTGAAATATCCTTTACTTTAACCAGAGTATTCCTTAAATGTTCACATATTGCCTTCGATGTTGGTTGAGTCACAGAATCGAACTCATAGTGCTAAAAAAAGCCAGCGCCATAAAAAGAAAAAGAAACTTAACAGAAGTGTCATGCACATAATGTGTGGCTGTACTACGCCCAAAAAGACGTAAGAAAAGAGAAGGAAACATTATAAATAAGTACTTTGATACTTGCATCGCGATCACTTGGGACTTTGACGGGAACCGTCTTTGGTGATTCGACAGCGTGCACTTCACTTGAAGGAATATTTTCCTACAAAATATCTAACCTAATTCGGATAACTGATTTGAACTACAAAATTACGATTAACGAGTAAAAATAACACGATACTTGTTTTGGAAATGATACTTCACACGACGGTAGCGAGTTTAATGGCTTTGAAGGAGACCCTGTTATATCGAATTCTGATGAAGAACCAAGCTGCGATGTCGGAGACTTCCCAAAAAAAACCGCGTTAGACGGAGACAAATCAGCATTTTCTTCTCCGCTAAAATTTTACTCAAAATAACTCTTTTGAAAACCCTATGGATATTACTAAAAAGCATTAAAAGATATTGACGATTCACCCCATCTTCAACAGGTCTTTTGTATCACAAAAAAAAAAATACCTCAACCAGTTGCTTGAGGGAAATTGTTTGTTGAATGCGGCAGATGCAATCTGACTGCCAGGAGTGGTGAACAATTCGTCCCTATTCATAACAGCAGCAGAAGTACAAACTGGCTGCATCTCTCCAATAGCCAAACGATGATAAATTCGAGGATTGTTTATCTTCAGCAAGTGGGCGTGAGTTGGAATCCCCTAAAATGGGCAAATGTCACAGTCATTAGTTGACAAACATAGTATTAGAAAATCTAAATGTCTTTAAAAATACCTGTCTCAAGAAGCTCACATAAGTGACGTCTATTGGAGGTAAGTCTTGGTCAAAAACTGGAAGTTGATTCGGTGCAAAAGCAGGGAAGGCATCAAATAAGCCCGGGAAAAGTTGTTTCAAAAAATGATGCTCTAGTTTGCCAGCAAACTCATCTCGTGAAGAAGTTTCCTCTCGAACCAGCTTCTGACTTTTCTCCATAAACTTTGAAAACCATGACATAAACTCCTGAAAAAAAAACTAAATTAAGTAAGCCTAATAAAGCAGAATTAAAAAACTGATAAGAAATTTGACCTGTTGTAGCACGCTCCTGCGCACAGTCTCTGCAACTGCTACCATATAAACATTAGGTGATTCCTTAACTTGTCTAATAATATCCAGCCTATTTCGCAATCCAGTATACTTTTCCTCGTAGACAGTTACTGCGTTATTGAGTACATGTAGTCGATCATAAGCCTAAGAAAAAAATCAGAACAGTGGTCAATAATCAATAAAATTCTAGCTATAATGCAAAACAATAATATCGAAGATTAGAAAAGCTATGATTTATAACCCCCAAAAATACTTTCATTAACTACCTTCAAAGCAAATTTTGAGAGCCTCTCACGTATATTATTCAGTATTTCCTGTTTGGAACTCATAAAAGATCTAAGCGTGTTGAATACATAATCATTACACTTCAGAACCTCAGCCATTTGCAACCGTTGTTTTGTCACAAGATCCTAAAGCGTATATGAGTGAAAAAAAATACAACAGAAAAGTGGCAACATTTTGCAAACACAATCTTCCACCCTAAAACAGAAAGACTGAAGAAGAGTGAAGCAACAATCACAAAAATTTTTAGTATATGTGAATGTTACGACGATCCCAATACTTTGGTATACAATTATAAGAACTGACTTTCGGAGAAGTTGAAGCACTAGCATCATTTTGAGACATCAATGCAGAAATCTTCTTCATCTGAGTCGTACGCACTAAATTTTTTTAGCAGTGATCAAGAAGTTGAAAATTATACGAAACGAATACATTAAAAATAAAAAAACAATGCATTCACAAGAAACAAAAGTTATTACATTCTAATGTGCGAAGTTCGTTGTTAAGATGCTCAAACCTCCCATTAATTCCACCTATCTCTTGCCAATTAGACTTGGCGAGACTTCCTTTCATAGCTTCTACGTGTGACTCCACTTCTTTATATGCACTATCGTCCATCTAAACCAAGAGTTAATATTAATCATACACAAACAGAAGAGGAATAAAAGAAAAATGGAAAATACACATAAAACATTCTAGTTATATGAAACATAGTGAAAAAGAACGTAGAACACAGTAGGGTCCAATTTATTAGAACTAAAGCTTTTTAAGCTTTAAATTTGATAAATTTGTTTAGAAATCGCTACGTGCGAAAAAGGTGAAAAATAAAGACCAATTACTCATACGTAACCTAAAACGCTCTAAAACAAACCCAGAAGTATTTAACACGAAAAGAGAAAACGCCTAAAATCAAACAAAAAAACTAAAAGGAAACTAGAATGAGGTCGCTTTTGAATTGTCACTGATTCATTTGGAATTTATAAAGTAAAAAGTCAACAACTTCCACAAAAAATTTACAACCTGTGCAATAGAATCTAAAACTCCTGCGACAACATCGTGAAGTGAGTTTTTCGGATCAGCCGCAGCAACAAAATCATACAAAGTAGACTCGTCATCATATTTTTTACCAACTTCTAACCCTGTGGATCTTTCTAAGAGGGCTGCTGGAATCTTAATCTAAAATGAAATCTGTTGGTCCTTCGAATGCCATCGATTAAATAAGACTTAACTTCTAAAACAAATCGATAAAAAAACACGCAATTAAACAAATCTAAGGTTGTTTATAACTTAATTAAGCCTAAACGAAACCTGAGCTACAAATAGATAACAATATTAGGTGCAAGAATTGCAGAGAGAGTACTGGAAAATAACACGTAAAAAACCAACCTTTTTCATCAGATCTAAAGCCGTATCAAAATCCTGAACAACCATTTGTGCTTTCTCCTTCATAGTCTTCATTTTTTCACAGTGAGCAAAAAATTTTCCTACTCGTCTATTAATCTGACTTTGGCAGTCATCATAGTTAGACATAAGTGCCAACCAACCCTTCAAATTAAGTGGGAGCAAGCAATGCAAGACCAAATCAGCACTTATAGCAAACTGTTATAAAAATCTAATTTCTTATTACCTGGTAAAGAAACTGATGCTCCTGGTTAATTCGGTTGCACAACTGGTAAGCATTATCCGTTATTTGATACTCAGTACAGGCCAACCCGATATACCGAGACACAAGCACGGAGTCGGGTACCGCGCTTTCATAAACCTTCATCTTCCTCCCCAATTCTAAAAATTTCAAGTATACTTTTGTTGCAAATTATCTTATAAAATCGCCATAGCAAGGAGTAAATTCTCTATTAAAAAAAAGTAATGCCAGTTTCACCTTGGCATGACTGCGTTATTTCCATATACTCCGAAGAAATGATGTTTAGTTTTTCGCCATCAGGGATCTTATAAAACAAAAAGACAGGATTTGAGTCTGTTCCACATCCTTGGTAAAAAGCAACAGGACGATCCGGATGCAGACCTTCACCTCCATTTATTAAAAGTACCTAGAACAAATGCTTTAGTAGCCAGCTGACTGAACTCACTGATCATAAAAAAACAACACTTGAAAAAAATTTTCAAGCCACTCCAAAAACATAAACACAGAAGAAGGAGAAAATTATCAGACCTGCTCTTGTGCCGGAATATTTGTAATTCCTTCAATCACCCGCTGCAAATCACGAACACTACCAAGGGCAGCACTGACCTCCAAGTGCTGTGCACACCCTTGATTGACGTTAAAAAGATAAAACATTTCTACTATAGATAATGTACAATACTATTTACAATCTGAGACATTCTGAAATTTTTTTCTCCTCATTATAAATAGATTCGACACAAAAATAAAGAACATTCAATTTCTCGCCACATCCTAATCGATCTATACGCAAACAAAGCACATAAAAGTAAGCGTTGAATATGACCTTAACAAATTCTCAAGTTACAAAACAAAATCCAGTAAATTCAGTCAGCCATTTTAAATCAACAATAGTTCCTTTTAATCTCTATCACAAATCAACAAAGATTTAACGATATTATCCTTCTATGGTGACCAACAACAAAACGTGCATTTGTCCATCAGCAAAGAAACAAATAATTTAAATATGAAGAAGAATCGACAAATAGAAAAACAGATAAGTAAAGAAGATTGTATATGTAAATATATCTATATGTTTAAAAAAGTAACGAAACACAAATGCTTAAATGCTTAACAGCAAATAAATTAAAGAAGCTGATGCAGTATTGGTACGAAAAAGCAGAAAGGCGTCATACCCACGAAGGGTACGGCTCTTTGTCTAAGTGCTTCCAAAAATGACAATCATCTTTACATAAAACCATGCTCAAAACTGCAAATAAAACCCTTCAACCTAGCACTATTTCCAGGCAAAAAGCCTATAAAAATAACTCATATCCAGCAAACACTAAACAACGGTCTCAAGAAATAAAAGACCTAGAAACATCTGAAAGACGGCGAATGCTATTTTATTAATCAGTTAATTCATTGTAATTGACATCACTCAACTAACCGATTTTCAGAGCGGCTTCTGCAGCGCGAAGCTATAAAAGTATACCAACCAAACAGTGGTTAAATTAAGGTGAAGACTTCACATCCGTCTTCTTTACTGGCCAGAATTGATCAGCAACTGAATGTTTCTAGTTTTCAGCGCAAAAAAAAACGTAGCAAAAATTGCGACCCATATTTTAGGAGAGGTAAAAAAATCCACAGGACATTCTATCGCTTAAAGTGAAACACGACGCTCAACAATTTCTCGACAGTTTTAAGCTTACCAAAACAAAGCTTTTAAACATTTTTGTCTTTGTGTCAAGCCGCAACATAAACTAGAAATCAAAATGCCTGTATAAAATTTTCATCAAACAGTTCATAGACCATGGTAATAAAGACATCTAGCATAAATATACCTAAGATACCGTTGTTACAAGTGGATAGCTTCATGAAACCGACTCGTCTAGTGAACATCTATAAGCAGCAGGTGTTATAGGTTTACCCGATCATTACTGCCGGCCAGTAAACGAATGAATGAATAAGATCAGAAGGTTTAAACTGTCAGCTGCAACGAACACATTTTGCTAATCATTACCAACAGTTAACAAGCACTTACTGTCTTCTGGCTGGAAACCGTGATTCTATAAACATACTCTTCTACCATCACGATTAAAATCTTGTCGTTTCAATGTTCGCACAGTAACGGAAATCGGTATACAACATTTCTCTATCTACAGATTGATAAACAAATATATCCTGTAACTTCTTCAGCAATTTCACATTAATTTTTTACTCCTAATATGATTTTTCTGTAAAATAACGAGCAACGATTTCCCGAAGTAACACTCTGACGAAATAAAGCAGTTTTCGATAGCACATTATATACAAATGAGAAAAGTATATAGAAAGATTATACGACTAAAATCAAACATTCATATCACGCAACAGATACCACTTTTCTTTTTATCAGTCTTATCACTGGTAATTAAGAACATTAAAGAAAAAAAAAGTATCAATGATGATAATACGTTAGTGTTCTGTTGACGTCAGTAAGTTCTTCTAGTATTTTTTTCGCTGTATCAACTGTCACAACAACATATCAGTTGCTGTTGTTGTAACCGCCAATGAAGAATCAACAGAATTACCCAACTACACTTAGATGGTAGTCTTCCGGGACCAACTACGATGATATCATGCAGATACTGCCGACATATTTTCACTGCTTTCTTGTACAGGTTCCAACGTTTCAAAACTGCTACCACTACCACCCAACAGATTCGCTATAAACTGCCAAACAATTCAATTGGCAAATGCTTCGAAGAAATTTCTCCTCTTCTGAACTTGTTAATCAGTAAACTTTATTTGACCTTAGCAACATCAGCAGTAGTTAAGATGGAAGGCAGAAAAAAAAAAAAAA